CTAGCAGTAGCATCAAACTCTTCCAAGATCAACGCCTGACGTTTTCCAGGAGAAGTAGGATTTGTTTCGCCCTGTACCAATCGTTTCCTGATGTTTTCGACTTGACGGTCTAACAGCCTGATAAAGGCATCACGCCGATCTTCCGCATTAAATTCAAAGAAGAGTTCTTCATGACCTTTAATGATAATGATAAGACCATGGTGGCCAAAACGAGTAGCCTTGGATTTCTCTGTGGCTAAAATATCGCGGATTGGCAACGTCATCTATTAGCACTTGTGAGCCGAATGTTCGAGAATGTAGGAAATCTCCAACCCTAGTTCTAAAAGTCAAAGGTCCACTAGACTTGAAACAGAAAAAGTTGGTAGAAATATACAGCCTTCCGAAAATCGGCAGGAGTCTGTATAAATAACCAGGAAAATCTGGAGAACATACAATCGAGTGACGACAATAAATCCAAGACATACACTCACATCCAAGTAAAGTCTCTTTCTCATCATATGCAAATGCGGTACGGAATTTCTCGGTGGTCTCGACGTCTACCGGAATATCAGGTGTTTCCAAAATGCTGAAGGTTAAGTCGCCTATAATTGAACGAGTGGTTGGGAATGAAGGCGTGGCCGTTATTGACGAATACGTTTCTCTGACACTAGCGAGGGTAGTAATCGTCGTTTGTTCGCTTGAAGATGAGCCACCGAACACGCGCCGGGTACCTTTGAACCAAGAGGGAACGCCGACCCAAGAGCTACTTTCTCTGCTCAACGAAGGATGATCAGGGTCAATGTGTGAATTGGAAGTAGAGGGTGGGTACGTGTGTTCACTCGCCGAGTTAGGGAGCGATTGGGCAGTTTGGTCACGATGTGTCTCTGGAAGACCCTCTATGGATTTGGGTGAGGTGGTGATCGGGACAAAGGATAGCGAATTTGGGCGCCGCGAGACATGAGTGAAATCTTCTGCTTCTGGAGACGTTTCGGGTACACTGGCTTGGGTCGTTCGGAGAGGTCGTAATAGTGATGCTAGACGGAAAACAGAACTTGACTTTGTAACGTTGCTTTCTGAAGGTAGACTTGTAATTCGATCCGGGTTGACGGAAAGCCGCGATTGTGTTGTATCAAGAACAATTGGCGGAAAGTCTGGCCGGTCAGGTTGATTTCGATAATCTCGGACTGCATCCCGTATATGTTCAAGGGCTCCAGGTATGTCATGGAAATAGGCAAAGAAATAGGAATCAACGGAAGAGTCCTCATCTTTGTCAAACACTTTAACTTCAATGGTTTCGCTAAAGTCCATTGCGGTAGATTTATCGACGTCAAGGACGAGGGAGTAAGGAATGGCAATCTGATCATCATATTTACAAAATTAGTGTATGATTAGAGATCACTGAATGAAACAAGAAACCTTGACGCAGTCGCCCATGTTTTGAGCTTTGAAAATAACTTTGTGGATAGCCTTTACCCATTCTTCACGGCTGGGTACTGAATCTGCAGACAAGATCACTGTCTTCTGATTTGTGCGAATACGAAAACCTTTATCGCCATCGGCTTCGCAAGAGATGGCATAGCGTAAATCTACAATACCATGAGGGAAATAGGGGTCCTATCAAAGTTACACTGTTATTAAGTTACTGCCATGATAGAAAGGAAATCTCTTACGGAAGAGGACTGATACCATGAGAGAGCATCATTCTTTAGGACAAACCAATGTTTTATCCAACGCTTTGTCCTTTGGGCTTTCTTATTGAGTGACCCAGATTTGAGTATTTGATCCTGTTACGACTGTGATTAGGATGACATCTGATTTTTGGAAGGGAACCAGACCTCTCGCGATGGCATGTGGGCGAAGAAACACAGATACGAATTGGTCAGGTACATATAACCTTGCAATACTGCGGTACAATATCAGTGTGACTCTGAATACTTGAAGGTGATCACTTACATATGGACCTAAGCAGCCAGCAAGGCATTTCTAACGAGCCGTCAGAGATGGTCATATCGAAATGATCAAGTTGCCAAACCTGCACGAACTTCCTCAATTGCATCTAGTTCAAACACCTCCTTAAGCTTTTGCGCTAGACCTACTCTCCGCTGAAGTCGGATGGTGCCCATACTACCAGCACGGGATGGAATTATTCTTGGATGGGGACGTGGGACTGGTCGATCTTTTTGCTTATCTGGGGAAAGAATTGATCCTGACTGAATGGGAGGGCTGGGGAAAGGTGAACTCGAGAGACGTGGAGTTTCTTCAAAGTCTTCAGCTTCTTGCTCTTCTTCTGAGCTTAAAACCTCGGGTTCTTCAGTCACTTCATCTACGAGACCACAGGAAAAACTCGAAGTACGTTCTTGTGTTGAATAAGGTATATTATGTTTCTTGGATCGTGCTAAGGGACGGTGAATGGCGTGGATGGACGAAGCTAGGCGTACTGAGGTGCGAAAGTGTAAGAGGACGGAAGAATCATGATAAGACTGGCTACTTACGTTTTCCTGGTTCCTCCTCTTCGTCGCTTGAGTTCGCATCAGGGCCTACTATATCTTCATCATTCTCAACTTCGGCCCATGGAAGAGCTTGAAGCGCTTGAATGAGGGTCTGCGTTCCTGCTCGCATCTATTATTTTTAGATGGTCCTGAGAATCAACAGCGTAGATATGTACAGGTTACTTACTGACCCATTCCCGCGGAAGGGATTCAGTGCCGGTCGGATAGGTGGAGGAGATGGAGGTGTAATAAAAGGAGAGTCAACGTTGGAAGGCTCGCTTTGCAAGGCCGGTTTGATGGGTATTGGGGCGGAAAAGAAAGGAAATCCTTCACGAGGTGTGACGCCAGAGGTCGATTTTGACAAGGTGGATCGTGAGGCACTTGGGGTCAAATTTGAAACTGGAGATGACGGATCTGGTAGGATATCAGTCGCAATCCAAACCGAACAAAGGCATTTGAGCACCCTCGACATCCCCAGAGTTCTCTTTGGTCCTTCCCTTCCGACTAAGACTGAACAGGCGGCGGCTACCCGCTGGTGGTGGCGTAGTGGGACTCGTACGGCCACTTCTTGTAGTGATGCTACGACTGAGCTTATCAACCGATTTCTCGACTGCCGCAGAAAGTCGCTTGACGCGACTTGGTGTGGATGTGACTTCCTTGGGAAGCGCTAGAGGCTCTGATTCCATCTCCAAGGCCTCGGGGGAAGTGTCGACAGGCGGAGCGACGGTTGGTGCATGAAGAAGAGTCTGTAGGTTTGTGGGATCGCTCATTACTGAGCAAACCCCCGCTGAATGCTACTTCAGGCGAGGCGTAATTACAATGCGACGGTAGGAATCGGCAGTTGCCGAATCAGGAGAGGGAATGATTCCAAATTCGAACACGTTCTTGTCGCGTGTCCGCGAACAGGTTCTGTTGTGCCCTGAGGCTCTTAAAACGCGGCTGGCTGTCATTTTTGCGGACTAGCTCGCTTTCGTTTCTTCCTCTTGAACAGTTGCTCGTCTGCAAAAGATGCGTGGTGAGGTATGTGTCTCTGCGGCCACACTCCTATCGTATGTTCAACTTCTCCGATCGCGATTTATAACAACACCGATCACTATCCCCTCAGGTTGGCCGCATTACTACTTATGATCTTTGTACATGTGCGCATTCTTCCATCTTCTCGAAGTTCACTTAGCTTTTTGCTCTTATCTCAGGTTGGTCAAATTAATACCTCTACTGTCCCTCGGAACATCGCAATGGTACATCATACTTCCTGCCCATTGTTAAATCCCTAACACATCTTTTCTAGGCTAGAGTCAACGTCTCACAGTATAGGTGAGTACAAGCCACCGTTACATACTTGACATAACCTTTCTGTGTTAGCTCTGCCCTCGAACTTTCCTTCACCGATCCATTCAGCAGTATATACACGACCAACGCCAGTGCTCCCCTCGGAGTCCAGGCAGGCTTACGATACTTTTACGACTTCGGCCTCTACTCATATTGCGCTTACTTGAATAATTCTCAAGGAACATGTAGCAATATGACCGTTGGCAACCAATACCGGCCTTATGACGCGATAACATCCGATATGGCAGCGAACTACTCGAGAATAACACAAGCTCTTGTACAGGGCACAGCTTTCATGGACTCATCTTCGCTTGGAAGCGCTACGAAGGCCGCCTACTGGATGTTGCTACTTGGTACAGTCTGTGCTTTATTGGCAGCACTCACGTTGGTTTTTATACTCCTACAAAAATCAAGACTAACTTTTTGTCAGTGGTTTCTTGAAGAGTCATTTTTCGTTCTTCTTTTCAACGATTTTTTCTGTATCTGGTAGCATCCTTCTCCTTATTGGAACGAGTATATGGACCATCATAATCAAGAAGTCGGACGGAATCAATGACCTTTTAATTGGCGACCAGGCAGATGCAGTTCCAATTGGAATCATTGTCACATTAGGGAATGGTTTACATCTGTCCTGGGCAGCATTCGTGTGTCTCGCAGTTTCGATTGTTCCCTACATCATCAGGTGCGTTAACATACATTCATAATATTTGTTTCACCTGTTTGGCTGAACTTGTCGCGCAGTTGTTGTACTTGGAAAGGATAAACGACATGTTACAGCCGATGCCGGCCATCGAGTGTAAAATCTCTATCTAACGACTTTATAGGACAATCTATGTATTGCTTGGGATTCTCATACACACCTTAGAGTGTTGACCATTGACTTTGAAATAATGTTGCAATAATGATGATGTTACATATTGTATAAATTTCCCCTTTCAGTCTTTGTCAAGAATGCTTAGAGGGTCACACATACATAGGGGGTTATACTTGCTATTCAAGGCTTTTGAGAACCTGACCTTTGGGGTGCATAGATTGATGAACAGGGATGTGATATGACGTGACAAAGGAGTATGAGTGAGTACTCACAACCCTTGGAAACAAAATAATCATTTTCCAATGGCTGGCGAGGAAAAATATGTTCAACAAAAGTTGACAACTGTATCGAGTTCTATCCAAACCAAAAGAAACAAATACAAAACATCTAGCCCACCGCGAGGGTCGAACTCGCAGCCTTCAGATTGTAAGGAAACCCGCCCTAAGAGTCTGACGCTCTATCCGATTGAGCTAGGCGGGCCTAAGAACAAGACACATAATTAGTTATACATCCACATAGTTGGGTTGTACATCCACATAGTTATTTTGACATCCACATATTTGGTTTGACATTCACATATTCTACTGAACATTACGTAAGTCGAAATGACAAAAAGTACATCTTCCCGGGCTTTATTGACCGGCGTTTTCTCTCTTTTCCATCCATACCCTAATCTTGTTTTGTCATTTCTTGACATTCTATTCCGCACATGCGTTTTAACTTTAGGCTCGCTGCCCTCGTTGCAGTGCTCGTCTCCCTTGACTCTTTTGTACAAGCGATTACTCAAGTAACTCGGTCTGGAAGATACCTTTACAACGAGGATGGTAGTCGTTTCTATATCAAAGGAATTGCTTATCAAGAACAAGGTAAACATCTTATTCCATCCTAGCTACGTCTTGCATCATTCACAACCTCACTTCAGGCCTTGTCGTCCAGAGCGCCGACAACAATTTTGGAGAACCCTCAACATTCATCGATCCATTGGCTTTACCAGATGCCTGTTCCCGCGATTTACCGTTCTTACAGCAGCTCGGTGTCAATACCATCCGTGTATACAGCGTAAACTCTTCTCTCAATCACGATGCATGCATGTCGACTCTCAGTAACGCTGGAATTTATGCAATGTAATTGTCTCGTGTTCGACCATAATTGATTTAGCTCACTAATTCGTGACAGCATTGATCTTGCACTACCTCTTAACGGTTCCATTGATCGAAACAGTCCTTCGTGGTCGACCAATCTTCTGGATCAATACCTCATGACCATTGATGTCTTCAACAAATACGACAATGTTCTAGCATACAACGTTGGTAACGAGGTGGTTGTCCAAAACGCAACCGCTGTTGCTCCGTTTGTCAAAGCAGCCGCTCGTGATGTGAAGGCGTATCTGTGCGTTATCATCTGTTGACACTCAGCCCAACCATTCACCATCTACAAATTTCTAGAAAATCAAAATCTTCGTCTATTCTTGTCGGCTATACTGCTATCAATGGCCCTTCACAATTTCGCGACCCTCTCGCCAATTACCTTTCATGCGATCCATCCAACACCAATTCTGACTCGACCGCTATCGATCTTTTCGGACTCAATGATTAGTATGCTCTCCTGTTGTTGGGTTAACTGTCAAGTACTGACAACTAATACAGCTCCTGGTGTGGCAACTCATCTTTTGAGGCTGCATATGCCAACACATTCGCTGAATTCTCCGGTTATAATGTCGCGGCATATTTGAGTGAATTCGGGTGTAACTCCGACCCTCCGCGCCTTTGGACTGAGGTCGATTCTATCTTTAGTTCTCAGATGTCCCCCGTTTGGTCGGGTGGTGTAGCCTTTTCCTATTTCCCAGCAAGCAGTGCTCAAGGTCAATTTGGCATGGTGACCATCTCTTCAGACGGTTCGAGCGTAACCACCAGCGACGACTTTGAACGGCTCAAAACGCACTACAATCAGGCCTCTGGCCCGAATACCCCGCCGGAGGGGAGCTCTACGAGCAATTTCCCTAGCTGTCCCACCGCCAACAGCTCTTTCCTTGCATCAACTACTCTTCCGCCCACCCCGAACGAATCTGCATGCAACTGCCTCTTGAGTACTCTCAGCTGTAGGTTTCACCCGGCAACCAGCAACTACTCTGCAATCGTCGGTGAACTTTTGGACACCGCGTGCAGCTTTGTCGGCCAAAAAGGCGGCACCTGCGACGACATCGCCGGTAATGGACAGACCGGAGTCTATGGTCGCTTGTCTGGTTGCGACCCGAGTAAGCTTCCACCCCATCATTCTCATACATGGTACTAAAACTCTGAACAGCCATCAAGCTGTCCTTCGTGATGAGCGACTTCTATCAACTCAGTGATCGTAATCCCCAGGCGTGTAACTTCGCTGGCAATGCCACTATCAATCAATCTGCCCCTGCTAGTGCCTCCGCTGCCGATGCTGCCGCAAGCTCGTGTCTCTCCAACGCCGCTGCAACATTTGTTCCATCTGCTGTTGCAAGCACTTTCGGAAGCTCAAGCACTGGCTCCTCGACGTCTTCGACTTCCACCAAGGGCAATAATGGTGCTGTTGGCCTCATAGGAAATAACAATGCACTTTTAGGCATGACTGTGATGAGTCTTGTCAGCATCGCCAGCGCTGTGTGGACCCTGGCTTGAGATTTTACTGGGCTGATTGCCACTCTTTTCTTTTTTTTTACTGAACGATGAACACTGCGTCATACCCCTGAATGACTCGTCGGTCAGCAACTGAGGCTCTATTCTATGCTATGCAGTACTACCATTATATTATTACCATCTGTAGTGTATTCGTTCGGACTCGAGGAGGGTGTCAGCACATCTGCTACGTTCTTTAAATATCACTGTATATCGGATCTTGCTGGTGCTTTGATGCACGGACCCCAAATCGGAGCTTGAAAAAAATGATTTTCCTGTCTCTGTTTGTTGAACATTCCACTGTGCCACCTCTTCTGTGTGAACGTCCATCTTGTCATGGCTCCCACAACCAGCGACGTCGACCAACCTCCGCACCAGCAGGATAACTGGGGCCCACAAGATGAACAGCCTATGGGTCCGGGCAGCGGAGTTGAGCCTCCGAATGGAGCGTCTTTGCCTGCTGACGACGATCGCGCTCTGGGCCAAGGCCCCGAAAATCCAGATTATCCTCGCGGATCCAGCGCAGGTGCAGTCAGCGCTACTGAAGGCAAAGAAATTACTTTTCGTGAGAAGCAAGTCAAGGTGCTTAGGTCTCTTCTTGTCTCTTCATGTCTCTTCTGCGACATTTTCCCCCACCTCGCTCATTACCACGTGTGGTATTCGACGCCGAGCTAGTGCTTTGTCCAGTACTACTATTAATTATTCTTAGCTTGGTTGCTTCGGATTTCCACTGTTGCTTTCGTACTATCGGAGGCTTACTCTGGCTCGGGGCTGATTGCAACTTCTCCTGCCGTTTCCCCTTGTGTGTATCCTCGACTGGGTGTTTACCTTCTGCTGTCCAGCCGAACAAAGTCTATATTGGTGGTCTACCCGAACACACTCAACAAGAGGACCTTCAAAGTTGCTTCGGCAAAATCGGTAATATCGTGAACATCGAGCTTAAGTGAGTAACCTGCTGCTTACTTTGTTTCCTTATTAATTTGCTCATCTGCAGAGTTGGATATGGCTTCGTTGTACGCGCTCTGTTTTTTGGCCCAGTGTATGTCTCATTTCGTCTAGGAATTCGACACACGGGAGGCAGCCGAGGAAAGTGTGGCGAAGTATCATGAAGGCTACTTCATGGGGAATAAAATACGAGTAGAGTTGTCGAGAGGGGGTGGTCGCACTGCCAAATACACCGGAGACCCCGGCGCTTGTTTCAAGTGTGGACAAATGGGTCACTGGGCAAGGTTTGTAGTTGTTCTTTCAGATCCTTGAGGTCAAACTTAAAAGCACCATTTTTCTCAATAGAGAGTGTCCCAACCACACTGGCCTGTAAGTTTTTGTTAGCCTCTATCGTTCTCCGTCCTCATTCAAACTCCAATAGAATAGCTCCTAGACGCCCGTACGAGTCTCCATCGCCTGATCGTGCTCATCTTGACTACCCTATTCTACCATAGGAATATGCCACAGCGTGAAGATATGGCCATGGGACGCCCTCGGGACGCCCGTTATGACTATCCGCCGTCTCGTGATTACCGTAGGCCACCTTCTCCCAGGGATTACCGCGATTATCCGGTACCACCTCCCGGTGTTCGTGGGCGAGAGTATGATGACTATAGGCGTGGACCTCCTATGCCTGATCGTGAGAGATACCCACCACCTCCTGCAGACTACAGAGGACGCTATCCTCCACCTGATGCAAATTATCGCGGCTATGGTGGCTCTTTGCCTCCCCCTCCCCCTCCTTACTATGACCGTTACGAAAGAAGACCTGGTGGAGAGAGGTTCCCTCCGGGATACATACCTCCTCCTCCTGGGAGTGGGCGTCCGAGGACTCCACCGAGGTACAGGGAAGATTTCGAGAGAATGCCTTCCAACAGGTGAGTGCTGTGCTGCTATATGAGCCTGTATCTAAGGGAGTTCATAGGGAATTTGATTATCGCGGCCGTCCCCCAAGTCCACCTCCACCCGCTCGGTATGACGAGTATCGTGGAGTTCCCTTAGACCAACCTGTGCCTGGAAGATACAAGTGAGATCCTATCCGACGTTGAAGTTTTTTTGACTCAGATTGGCTAGGCGTCGCTCGGAAAGCCCTCCACGCTCTTATGATCATCCTTATCCTGCTGGAACAACTTATGGCAATAATTATCCTAGTGCTGCCCCTGGTGGACCTCACCCATCTGGTGCTCCTCCACGTTCCGGCCCTCAACGAGACTACATTCCTCCTCGTAATGGATTGGAACCTAATCCTGGTTACAGAAGACACTAGGGTAAAAATTCTGTGGCTCTTGCCGTGAGTATCTAATGATCTGGCTCCTGACGCCAGTATGCTATATGTGTTGTCGCCGTCGCTCGTGCAATTGTTTAGTAGTTTGGTTTAGTTTTGAATGCACTTCTGTTGTCCCAATCGGCTACCATCAGCAAAAATCATATTTTGATGGTGATCCGGTGAGCTTTGACCATCCCACTGCCATCAATTGGTTCTCCACAAGCAAAGTAGAAGAGGGTTTGCCGTTTCAAAAGTAATCGATCAGCTCAATAGACAAATAATCAACCAATAATATTTTTCAGTCAAGTATCAACTCAAAATTGAGTATTATTATCTATCAGCAAAGATTTTGAACATGTTTCGATCGTTTGCTACTTAAAAACAAAAACATCATTTCAAATAGACATAAGTATTATCTCTACTACTAACAGAGGCATTATCAACAAGAGCTAACTAAAATTGGATTTGATGATGGATGGGATTATGATGGTAAACGTGACCCATGACCCTTGTACAGTCTGTCATCAATTTTTTTCAAATTTTCCTCATGACGGGAATCAAAGTTAAACCGCCTTTTCCTTTGC